TAATTATGCATCGTTAACTTCACCTGATTTTGTCATCTGTGGGAATGTTAAAGAAGATGTTCCCAACCCGCATCTTACTGAACAATCAGAGCTGAATACTTTGGTTCTTGTCTTGGGGTTGCCTAGACCGAGTTGTTGACATCTTGGCTACAGCAGTGGCATTTACTTGCTGCCAAGATTAAGTCTACCGTATACAGGGAGTAAAGTGTTTGGTTGTCCGGTTTCTATGACACGCGGGAAAACTTTTGTTATTCATTCGACGTAAAATGGCAGTTGGAGGAGCTTGGCGTGAGGCGTATCAGTGCTGAAAGATGTATCTGCATTGACTCGTCCAATAGCAGCCTTAAGGCCCTACAGCTCCACAATAGAAGTGCGTATCCAACTGTTGCGTGCCAACAGTATGAAGGAGACTTATTAAATTATTTAAGTGTTACTCGCCGCATTGAACTAAGCTAAGTACTGTCGGAAAATCTGTGCTTACTTCAAAGTCATTGGACTCCTAATGACTGTGCAAAGAGGCTTCACAAAATATTGCTATTTCTTGTGTTTATGGGACAGTAAAGCAGCTCAACAGCACTACATAACAGAAAAGCGGCCAAAAAGCACGGAGTCTGCTGCAGGGAAAATGAGTATACAGCACACACCTCTTGTGCAATCTGATCATATTTATATACCGCCCATGCACATCAAGCTTGCTTTGCTTAACAACTATCTCAAATACAGCATTGAAGACGGGTAGCTCAGCTTGTTCAGATGGCGGTTGAACTGTTCGCTGAGCTTGGCAATTTTGTTGCAAACGTTTCGTCACCAATCGAGATGACATCCTCAGTGCGTAGTTGAGTGGCATGCAATAGCAAAGCGTAGCGTAGAGGAGCACTCTCACCGAGGCTCCTTTACGCTAAGCTTTGCTATTGCATGCCACTCAACTACGCACTGAGGATGTCATCTCGATTGGTGACGAAACGTTTGCAACAAAATTGCCAAGCTCAGCGAACAGTTCAACCGCCAACTATCTCAAAGCCCTCAAGCAAGATGGTTTCTCGGTTCAGTACTTAAAATATGTTTCCGGATCAGAGAAGCAAAGCTCAAAGAAAGGATACTTATTGGGCCTGTTATTTGTCGGAGAATGGCAGACAGTACTTTCGAATGCCGGTTGATTTCATTTGTGTTTGAAGCATGGAAATCATTCAAGGCAGTGTGTACATGCTTTTCGCATAGAAAAAGGCAGAGAACCACAAACATTTTAATAAACCCATTGCAGAATAGCAGGCTGGTGATGTTCGAATCTCGCACAATATGCACTTTCTACATAATTACCTTGACTTTTTCTCCGAGAACTTAGAATCTGTTAGCGATTAATGTGGTAAGCGCTTTCACCAAGAAATTTAGTCATGGGGCAACGCTGCGATGTCAAGTAAACGCCTCATATGATGGGTGACATTTGCAGCTTGACAGCGCTGGATTATACAAACGAAGTTCGAGGCGAATTCGGCATTCCCAAGTGCCAAGCTGCCGTCAGTGGTTACAAGCGAGTTTAACAGTGATGTTTTAAACATATTTGCAACAAACATGCGTACTGTGTATGTTAAGATTCAGTAAATTTACATGTAATCAGTTCGATCAAGACTGGACATTATTGAGAATAATTATTAAGTTATAACAATATGCTAGGTAACATCGGGAGATGTTTCTATGATCAGTTGCGTGTATTATAGCAGGGAGAGACATTGGCATTTTTGTTATAAAAAAACAGATTTTTGTTTGTAAAGTTTAATTAATGCAATCCTGAATTCACTTATTGCTCTGTAAGACCATGCTATTTGTCATGGTGACCACCCTGTCAACTACAAACTAATAGTGTATACGAGAGGGACGGATGAATCATGTCACGTAGCGGCAAGCACAGTGAGTACTTGTACATGGTGGTCCACTGACCACCAGTTGCTCGGTGGCCTTTGTCGCTATCTCAGCACCAAGAGGTAGTGATTTCGCATTTCTCAGTATACGGACAGATACGCATTGTTGACGAGCTCCAGTAGATCGGTGATGCATTGCAATGTTTTTCCGGATGCATGGTGGTTCCCTGGTCCCATTCCATACTACTTTTCATAATTAAAACTATAAACTGGAGTAGGTATGGGTCAGAAAAGAGGGATAAATGCAGTGAACGACATAGTTTATGACATCATCACATAATCTAGGATATCCCATCTTTGACACAATCCGCCCAAATGCTCCCAACTAGGAATACGGCGCACATAAAATACACCTAAATTTTAGATGGTTTCTTCATGCTATGGTGTTCCGTGCTTAACTATACACCTCATGTTCTGTTCCATCTAGGTAGAGAATAACCATATAATGCATACGGTAGCAGATAGCTAGTCGAAAAACAAAGCGTATAACCTAGACGGCGTAAGCGGTTGGAGCAGGCAAAACACTTTAGAGCAACACGACTTTCTTTTGCCAAACACCCAATAATGAACTTTTGCATGAAACACTCAGGGCTGCTAACCGGCACAGAAAGTGATCTTCAGGGGTTGGTAGTCAATGCTGTCAACTTTAGATCATTATGCACGGTAGTGTTGTACGCCGTTTCCTTATCAGCGGACTTGTATCACACCTTTTCCCTAGGCGTCTGAAGACTCGGGAAGCTATGCGATTCTTATCAGTATGCGCTGCCCTTGCCATAATAATGAGACCTACCAACCTAGTACAATTAACTGGTTAACCAGACTTAACTGGAGTGATCTGAGCCCAGTCTTCTAGCAATACAATACACTTGCATGGTTCAGTGTGGATAATGATGACTGCAATGGTATATATGGGAATTTTAATGTAAAATAAGCTTTTTATGACTCAACTGCTTTCTTTAGACTGAACAACAGATAATTGCTGAGGAAGTTTGCTGATATGTTCTATTTCATTAATTGTTTCTAAGACATCTATCGGACTCAAGAGTGAATGGATTGTATACATTAATTCACAAAAATGTGCCCTAAAACGGACATGGTTATCGCTTACGGACTTGCCTCGGCAAATATTTTATCGATGAAACAGTGTTTAATAGTACTTATGTTTAGGAGATTCTTATATAATTTTATTAAGAGTTCGTCGAAATCACTTTCGAGTCAAGAGTGTATTCTTTGGTTCCATCAGGATCATAATTCATAACAACTGGCGGTTTGCGTCACCAGCCAGCAGCGTGTACCGTTAGGTCACCCGTATGGTTGCCGACTGTCATATCTTTGCTTAGAAGGTGCGTTTCCTAGAGCGCCGATCAACCGAGCGCGTGACCACGAAACGAAACAAGCGTCTGCTCTAAAATTCCTTAGGTCAGAGGCAGTTGATACTCATAGGTCAACTCGAACTAGCCAGGGAGACATCAGTCGAAGGACAAATGTTTACCTGATGTCAACAGTCTGTGCGACTGACTCAAATCTTCACATCCGATAGACCCTAGCTTGATGTGTGCTGTCCTTTTTGTTCTTTATTCGCTGGGGTTGGTCTACCGTACATGTTAGACACACTAGACTCACTGACCAACAGCGATATAACGAGAAGTACCCATCAATATCATACAAGTTGCCAACTTCGCAGAGGACAGATTTGGTCACTAGAGTCACGGATTCAGTTTACGATGTCCTCGCAATACACCGTATGAGCACGGCAGCATATTTGACCTAAATATTGCTGTGTACAGCTTCTGATTGTGGATGTCGTGATTTTCGGGACAATTCTGTCCTCTGAAATGTTCGTAACTTGTATGAAGGATGCGTTGCGCGACAGATGGCATTCCGCATTTAATCCATAACCGTCCACTACCGGCCTCATGAACTGCTGGCAAATGCTAATGGCTAGTAGAGCAAATCGCTACTTGTCATGCGCTGGATCCTAATGGAACCGATGGATGTGTACTACTGACGAGATGCGATGTGATGAGATGACCGTGCGTGTGAAGGGCTGCTGCCGAAGAAACTACTGCTATGAACTCCTGCTAATAATTACATTGCATATTTTAAACGGCGGTGTCAGTTGCAACAACTCAACCTCGTATTTCGGTCGCTTCTCCCTGTCCTAAAGCTGCAAGCAGCGGCCGATGAGTTGTTGTTACGATCCCGACCTCTCGGTGCATAAATAAAATCCCCTACTGATTACTTGGTGCGTCCAGTTTCTAATGTATAATGCTACGAAATGTTGAATATCAAGACAACTTCAGACGTATTATCATCATCCGGCAGTGTTGGTACCGCAGGATCGAGTTGACGAAAACCAACCGTGAGTAATCAAAAGCAGAATTTTCCTGTTCAGAGACTCTCCGGTCAACAATTAGGAGAAGGCTATTTCATTCGTCGTTGGGGTTCAAGATTGTATCCGTCAAAACGTCAAGGCATTTGGAAAAAGCATTTTCCATCTATGAGAAGCCTCACCACATACTTAGTTCAGAATAACCCGAACTAATATAGACGTGACTGAACAGTGTTGTCTCCACCTTCCCCTGGTGATTAATCACTCTTTGTACAAATGCATTACAACACAAAATAATCAGGAAAGGATGATTACTGTTACTGGTAATGGTAATATTGTTGTATAAATACAAAATTAGTGAGTAAGTTGCTGGTCTACAAGAGTATTCATAAGTGCCCATCTTGTTATCTAGTGTCTCATAGACCTGTTACTGAACATGGCAAAGTTTTGTCCTAATTTTGTGCTGAATTAGTGAAACAATATAGCTAAAAACCACATTTTTGTCATAATCATATACATTCACTTGAGGTTTTGTGACCCCAATAAAAGCACTGCATTTAACCATACGGTTGTAGAACTCTACCAAAAGCTAAACACAGCAGTGCAGCGAATTATATACATTTTTTTATAACTAGAACGTAGTCACTCATGGAATGGGATAATACGGACGTGCCTAATCCCTTTGAACTACTACTTAAGTAAGCAGTAGTTTATAATTACAATACATATTGTCACTGTTCTTTGGTCCACAGATCGCACTTCCAGTCCAATGGAGAAGTTCCCTATGCCTCTCTCAAGTATCCTCAGCACGAAAGTCAGCTCCACTACAATGTATCTTCGTGGTCTATCTCCAACTGCCAGCGAAGAATCGAGCTCTTACACGCACGTTAAAATTAATCCTACAGCAGGCGTGGCAGCCATGGTTAGTCGAATCAATTCCGATTGGAAAAGCAACACAGGCTTGATGAAATCACCTTCGCTGCCCAGCGAACAGGTTGATCCACAAAACGATGACCCGAAGAATTATCTGAACGAATTGGATAACGTGATTAAAGAGCTCTGTAAAGCTAACGAAGCCGCTGTGCAAGCCACTCGAGAGGCTGCTCGTCGGCGCCATGAAATCGGTTGGCCAATGCATTATGAAAACGCCCTACACGAGCAAACAAACAAAATCTAGCGCGGATCCCCATTAATGTATAATTTGATCATCTTGATTGCAGCTTTTAGGAAACTTGGAAATGATTAAGTGTGATCCCGTTATGAATCTTATGTGTAACTGTGCACATTCGGTCGCGCAAAATATGCAAAACAGTTGATATTTCTTTATTGTCCACCGCAATTTCTATACAACCTTAACAGGCATTCATGGATCTTCTTAACTTTGCCCTAGTATTTTTACTTCCTTCCGATTTTATGGTTCCTGAATCTTAGAATCAACCGTACGTTCTTATTGTGTACTCCTTGGGTAATACGGATTACCACTTATTTGCCCATTTCTGACTCAAAACGACAAGGGTTTTCAAATGTACACTCTTGTTCTGTATGATTTGATTTTGCACATATGCTAAAGACTTCTGTGCGTGACCTGGAAATGCAGTCGGCATCCTTCACTTGTCAGCATCGGCATACGAACCGATTGTTTTCTTTAAAGTATCCACATTGCATAGGGACCGACTTGCTTTGTACCGATCTATGCAAATATATAAAGGTTATCACTTACTATTGCCGTTCTCTTCAGTAATCAAGAGAAACTGCGACATTGAATGGTTCCACACTCAGTGGAATTCCGATATACAGTCAATTGCTACATGCTTCCAGTTGTGATTAATGTTGGAGTTTATCCAGGTGAGAGGACTACGAAATCAATCCAATATTAAGGGAAAATGTTCCTGTATAAAAATATTTTTTCCTTTAGTGTGAACGCAGAGATCACATATACGAAGGTTACTATTGAAATAGAACGAACAATGTAAACGCAACATGTGCTGAAGAGAATCTTGTTTTGGAAAAGTTAGTCAACGAAAGATAGTCATCAGAGAATTTTTTTGTGTGAAATAAGCTGTGCTGCTCTGTATATGTGCTACGGTTTTGGCTTAAGCACGTTTGAATTATCACACAGCAGGTGTTCACCCTTAGTGTTGGTCGGAGCCAAATTAAAACATTTGATCCACTTCATCAAAGCAGAAAGAAGACATGGATTGCGATATGTCAACATTTCGATCGTTCTCATCAGTCCCATACACAATACAAGCAGAAACACGGACATGGAAGCAAATTGGCACAACAATTACACTGTCAAATCAAGGCCAGGTCAATCTGATTGATTGCCTCAGGTGTTACTGTGTACATAGCACAGGAGACTGCCGATAAAAACTGCAGAGTAAAAAACTGTCTATTTTGTTTTGCCGTTCAAGGGGGGCCATGTGGCAGATGATATCGGCCACAAGCTCAGGTCCGTTGTAAATCTTACGTACACGACTGCCCCGTTGCGCCTCATGCATATTACCCGGAAAGCGGTCCTTCAAGACCGTCGGAGCTAACCTTCGGCTAGTTCGGCCTCATATGTAGTATATCAGTTCACCTGCAGTTGCGGTGATGTTTACATAGGCAAGACTAACCGTCGGTTGGTTCAGAGGGTGGCTGAATACTTGTCAAGTTGGGTCGAACAAATGATGGCGCAACAGAATGGAACGCTCCACAGCACGGATCGGAGTCTGTCATCATCTATCGCCAAACACGTCTTGACAACCGGTCACCACGTGAACTCCAATAATGCGTTCAAGGTGTAATTACGTAACAGGAACTCGATAATGTTGGCAATCAGTGAGGCGTTGCAAATTAGCGCTTATCAACCTGTGATATGTGCACAGAAACTCTTGAGGCAATCAATCAGAATGCCTTGGTCTTGATTTTAGCAGTTTAATTAGTGTGCCGGTTTTTCCCCATTCATATATTTGTGTTGTCCCCATGCTGAAGCTGAGGTTGCGTTCTTGATGCTTCTTCACCGCAGTTGGGCTAAACCAACTTACACTTAAACTAGGTGTTTTTAAACTAGATACGTTTTATTCCACTTTATTTGGTTTGTTCTGCCTACCTGAATAATCTTCTATTAACTGGCCACGTTGCTTACGCTAATTGCGCCTATCTTTGATAACTTCGTTGTTTTTGTAGCATTTTTAAGTAACTTGCGGACATTTTTCCTTGTCGTTTCATTTATTAATTTAGCGAAGTGTGTATGTGTATGTGTATGCATTATTCGATTTATTTTATTCAATTTCGTCGTTTCAAGTGATTGGCTGTTGCTTGATATCCCCGGTGTGGATGCGCTTGATGTGCATGTTGACAAGGTGCCTACCTGTCTATTACCCACTATCTCGTCTATACTGGCTCCAGGAGACAGTTGGTCGTTGCTGGAGGGGACGGGGTGCACGGTCCTTGTGGCCGTGTTAGAATTAAAGAGTGGTTCTACGCACTCAGTGTAGAGCGGACTACGGTCCAGCCACCGCCTTGTGTGCGCTTGATTCCCCAAATACAGCGTGCTTGTGTTTGCCGGCTCCGTTGATGGAACCTAGATCCCATCCACATGCCTCCCGGTCTTATTCCTTCGGGTTTACACTGGATATGGGGTGTGTGGATGGAACTGTGGGTGGTGCAGCACAAGCCACCCATGGTCTCTCTGTAGGCGCAGGCGTCCCGTGGCTGGCCACAGTGACAGGCAAATCCGAAAGCGGATGCCGCTAACCATATGTTTGTGTCTGTGTTTCTACTTGTATTGTGTATGGGACTGATGAGAAAAATGGAAATGTTGACATATGGCAATCTATGTCTTCTTTCTGATTTCATGAAGTCAGATTACGCAGAACAATCGGTTTGGGCTTCTTATTGTTTGAAATTAACAGTTGTGGACTTTTGTTTGCGGACGTATTCCTAACACTATTTGCTGTTGAGGTATTGACCGCCAGGTAGCTTTCACAAATCAACAGTTATCCTGTTGAACTTATTCAAGAGGGACCAGATTACACCTACTGGGCGAAGCAAATGTGTGGTGTTCTCGGTTTTGCCCTGAATTCGCTTATCCTACTCACACTTCTATTTGGCACTGGTTGGCCAGTCATGTGACCATGCAACTCCAACGTCTATCGATTTGATTGTGACGCGCGTATGTGTAGACAGATACTTTCTATGCATACGTTCCGGTGTCGCTCTGGTCTGCTTCTTTGTCGGGATACAACAAATTGGCGTCGCGTGTTACCGATGTCTTTACATGCTACTGCTCCTGCATCATTCTGGACTGTCTCTGCGATTACTCCAAATGCAGAATTCTGTGAAGATGGGAAAAATATGTTCAGGTTATATTTCTGTGCTACCAGTTCACAATGCATCCGTGACGCCGAAAACGGAGGATACTTTAAGGCTTTTGCGCTTGCACCTAGCCTCAGAGTGTCGACGTGCATTTGATGCAATAAACCTGCAGGAGAAACTCACATTGACAGAGGCCTTATCGACCCTCGATAAACATTGTTTTGTTCAAGTGAACACTTATACTTCTCGGTATAATTTTTCGCAGCTGAATCAATTATCTGGTGAATCAGTGCATGCATTCATTGCTTGCCTTGTATGCTCTATTCGAAAGTGTGGCTAGGACAGTATTCACAAGAAAATGTGGAAACAACTATGCTAATATAACCATTGCTTTGTGGCCTCGCGAATTCATGGATCAGAGAGAGTCTCTTGCTGGAGAACGCTGAAATGCTCATATGGGACAAGGCCTGTGACTTGGCTCGTGCGAAGTTCGCAGTCACGGAACCAAACAAAAGTTCCTCTCTAACACCGAAGCTACTGAAATCGCCTGTTTGGATACTACACCTCTCTGACGCGATCCTCGGTTAGGAATAAGTTTTACCGTTGTGGAAATGCTGAACATCGTGCAAATGATACGTCATGTCCTGCAAAGAGTGAGATCTGCCGGAAGTGCGCTAACACCGGTCATTTTAATCGGGTTTGTCGTTCCCGCGCCATTTCTTTATTTGGTTCTGCAACTGACTCTAGAACTTCTCTGGTCATCACTGAACAATCCATATATGACGTTAATGAGTGCGAATATCCTCTTTCCTCTCCAACTCAAGAACCCAAAGTGTCTTCGCCAGATATTCGTGGTGCTTTAGAAGTTAAAAACAAAACCATTTTTCTAGACATGGAATTAGATTCCGCGTCACCAAACACAGTTGTGCCATATTGTTTTTACACACAGCATTTTGGTCAGTTAGTTGAACATGCTTCCGCTTACACTTTCAGAAGCTATTCAAATAGTGATGTCCATATACTCAGTTTTGTTGCGGTTTCAATGTTTCTTATAAACAGCAGGAAGCGTATAGTTGTAGTTTACGTTTCTAAAATTGATAGTAATCCTCTATTGGGACGTAACGCCTTTGTCTTATTGAACGTTTTACCATGCGTCAGTCGGATAACTATTGCCAGCGTCAACCTTCACTTGTTACGGTTCAGTTATCAAAATATATTTCTTCCGGATATTGCTAGAGTCCCAAAAGCAATGCATCGCATTCGGTTGAGCGCGGATTACAAACCATTCAGCATTTCACAATCTAGACCTGTACCTCTGGCCCAGCGAGAAGCATTGTCGCAGGCTTTTAAAAATATGGTCACGGAAAGCTTGATAAAACCCATGCAGTGTTCTGAATGTGTTCATCCACTAACTGCTGTTCAAAAGAAAGGTGGCTCTACTAGTGTATGCACCGATCTTCGAGTGCTTAATCGACTTGTGATTGTGGATACATTCCCTCTGCTATCTCTCGACGAGTTGATGGTTAGTCTTCCAAATGCCAAACTTTTCGCAAAGTTGGATATTCGTAGTGCATACAACCACATGCCACTGACTCCAGATTGCCGACATTTGACTGCTGTCCTCGCGCAATATGGTTTGTATCAATACAATGTGCTACCAATGGGCCTTAGTAGTGCCCTAGCCGCATAGCGGAAATTTAATACTCCATCGCCATCAGATCTCAAACGATGTGTTGTGCATATGGATGATATTTTCTTTGTTAGTAACCCCACCGGACATCAAGAAAACCTTCATAACGCGCTGCACAGACTGAATGAATTAAATCTCCGCCTGAATACCAAGAAATGCCAATTCGCTGTAACGGAAATCGGGTTTATTGGACATGTTATCTCTACCTCGGGTAGTAAGACTAATGTGCAGAACACTAGAGCCATTCTCGATTGTCCAAAATCATGCAAGGTTACACAGCTGAAACACTTCTTGGGTTTGTGTTCTTATTACCTTTGACATTTCCCGAATTTGACGACTATTGGCAAGCCGTTGCGGAGGTTGACGCGCCAAAACCAGGAGTTTCGTTGGACCACTGAATAAGACAATGCTTACATGACCATACGAGCGATGATTGAATCCCCTCCCACCGTAGGGATCTTTAATGAACACTGTCCAACGTTTGTTTCAACGGATGATTCAGATGATGGCTTGGATGCAGTTCTATCCCAGCTACATGATGACGAGGAGAAATGATTGCGAACACATCGCTTACCTTGTCTGATACTGAAAGGAATTATTCCACCGGCGAGAAGGAGGCCGTCGCATGCGTCTGGGCGTGTGGGAAATGACACTTTTGCTTATTCGGACGTCGATTAACTTTGCGCACCGATCATTCTCCCCTTACAACTCTACTAAGTCGCAGTAATCAAGGCCAAAAGCCGATACGCTTGAGTCGCTGGTACTCACGTTTCTTGAAGTATAATTATGAAATAAAAACGTACCAAGGTGCTTTAACCAACTTGCAGATACCCTCTTGAGACTCCGACTGTCCAACGAAGGGGAGAACGAGGATTTAGAGAAGGAAAAATGATATCGCAGTTCTCAGAGTGAACCCCTACAATAACATTTGACCTTATACGAGAACACACTGACAAAGATCCGGTCCTAGCCTAGCTTCAAGTGTACATATCCACTTCATGGCCCAGTCATACCAAAATCCAACCTGAGTTACTTCCATACCATACCTTACGGCACGAACTTTATACTCTGAGCAACTGCATAATTAGAGGCGAGCAGTTTGCAGTCCCTGCAACCCTTGTTCCTCTGGTGGTTGCTTGTGCGCATGAAGGTCATCTAGGGATTGTACAAACTAAAGCTCGGATACGATAATATTATTGCTGGCCGAAGTTGAATTCATTCGTCGAGGGGGTTGTTCGGGAATGTTACGCTTACCAACAATCCGCTAAGAGTGTGAGACCCCTGAATGCTCCAGTCCAACCTATCATGTACCCAATGAAGCCATGGGCAAAAATTGCCATCGATATTATGCGCGCGTTTACCAATGCACCCCCGCAGAAACGAAACATGCTAGTGGCCACCTGTTTCTATATCAAATGGCCAAAGGATATTCTATGTGGAGACGTAACTCCAGCCGTCATCATGAAGTGGCTCGTTTGTTTGTTTGCAAGGTACAGTTTTTCCAGCAGAAATAGTCACTGACAACGGCCTACAGTTTCGAAGTAACGAGTGTGCTGAGTTCCTAAGGCGCAATGGTATCAGAGACACGAGGACAGTACCTTATAATCCTGCAGCGAATGGACTCGTTGAACTATTTAATCGTAATTTGAAAGATCCCCTACAAATCCTTTAGCTTTTGGGAGAATTCTGGGACGATACTTTGGTGTCTACATTGGAGGTATACAGAATCACTCCACGTACTGTAACGGCAAATACCCCCTCAGAGCTAATACTAGGGCGAACAATTCGGACTCGATTAAATGCACCCTTTACATCCGAAGAAACCGCCGGTCATAAAGAATAGGAAAGATGGGCTGTTTACCAGGCTAAATATAGACGCGTTGTGAGCATATATCCTCCAGGGAAATTCGCTCCTGTTAGACTACCGTATTCCCGTAAAGGTAATGCGTTTGGACCCCGACCAGTGCGGAATGTGTGCACGGCAGGATTTTACAAGTTGGGTGATGGGACAAAGGGGAATGTAAGACGGCTGCATACAGTGCCTTCGCAAGTTGCTATTGAACAGACGAACGTACCTACAACAGGGCGCTCTGTACAAACAAATACAAACCTACGATATTCCGGTCGGATACGCCGCACTGTCTACCCATACGCTTTAACGGATAACACCAAGTGACAATTCTTCGGGATGCTGGCATTAAATTAGATCCTTCATGGACATGTAGTGTTCATATTTTTACGAACATAGGCGGGGACAATGTGGTCTTCAAATACTTTACTTGGTTTTGCCCTCGAGTCGCTTATCCTACTCACACTTCTATTCAGCACTGGTTGGCTAGTCATGTGACCTTGCATTTGGTTGGTTGCAATTCGTGTCTGTCGATCTAATTGTAACGCGTGTATGTAAAGACAGCATTTTTGCGTACATACGTTCCGGTGTTGCTCTGGTCTGCTGCCTTTTCGGGATACAACAAAAAGAGATTTTTATAATATAAACATTCTCTTGTGGTTGCCGTATCCTACCTACAACTCCCCCCACAACTTCCCCCACTATTTTAGGGTAAAACATAAAATTGTGGGATATGTACATTGCTAGAAACCCAGAAAGACAGTCACATAACGTTGTATTACCCATACAAGTGCATGATACTACCTGTAGATATATGGTTTGTGCTAAATATTGACGCAGGTTATCATCTGATGAAAAACATTCCAATATTCAATGGTGCTTGTATGTTGGCGACTAATGCGTCAAGGTGCTTAAACGAGTCGGGACGCTAGGTCCTGATTATCTTTCCGGAGACTGATATCTAAAACGAAACACTTCTATGTTCCATCATTTTGCCTTTGGCACAGTTTCGTCATTAATTGAGGAAGTCTTAAATGATACCTGATTGCGACTACTTATCACATTGCAATGGGCGCAATGCCGCACGTATAACAAGAACGCAACCGATGGCACTGTAAAATGTTGTTGTTCTGATAAAGAAATGGGTAAGCATGAAAACATTGTAGCCAACTTTGCTGTGATATGGCATTTAGTACCAGGTTCAATGGAGTTTTTCTTTTAATCTCGAAAGCAAATTATAAAGGCACAGTATGTTATGGAATTTGGGTACATCGGTAATGTAGACCAGTGAGCTCAAACACATGCCCTTATTCTTAATCGGGCTTTTATCTCGGAGGAAAACAGAGTGACTATTCCAAGTTCGCTTCAGAAGGAAGTTTTCAACCGGGTTTACTACTTTCGACCGAATTGTTAATTGCAAAATTCTCAAATGAATCGTCTTGAACTGCTGCACCAGGTAATACCGTGAAGCAAAGTTTACTGAAAGTCGGGGCACTCAGCTGGAATTACTTGTGTTAGCCTTGTGTTAAAGGATTACACTAATTGTCGTTGTTTCGATTCAGAGCAACTGCCCCAATTCTGTAGAGTCGGCCTGTTATTAATATTCGGGAGGAATACAGCGTCTTAAAACAGAACGCAAAAATATTGGCACTGCTAACGGAGGTACATTTAGCTGTAAAAGAGAACTTCGCGAACTTACGCTGGTTAATTCTACGCGATTCATGGTAATATTCAAAAGTAGTTTTCTTCTGTAACCTTGAAAAATGTCTTCTTTCAAATAATGGCTTGCTGAACTGTTTCTTTGTATGTATTGGCAACAGTCTAACGCAGGCATTCTCACCATTTATTAAGCCGTGGCCCCATTTTAAACCTATCCTTTTCTCATGGCCCCCCAACCCATCATCACCACAATTTCAGCAATCAGCAAAGCCTGACAGACTGAACTCTCTAGTTTCCGGTCCTCATATTAGCATCTTTTTGATGCTGGCAAAGTTATTAGTGTTTTTATCACTGTTTATTCTACGTAAAACTATTTTAATTTCACAGCCTCCAGATAACATTCAATGTGCGGGCTACTTGTTTGTAATTACACAAAAGTCATCATTAATATTTAAACTTGTATTTAGTTCTTGCTTGCTTTTAGCTGTAAAGTATGTCAGCAATTAGGAAGTGTAGTAACTTTGTAATAATATGTTTGTCAAAATATTAATGCGAGCTTTGAGTGTGATATTCTTGAGCAAGCTTGTTTACGTCCGGCTCCAGATTTGATAACGATAGTCGAAAATCTCCTCTTGTTGCGACGTCTAATCTGTATATACTTTTGGTCAAAGAAACCACTTTGCTTAATCCACATTCCGCCAAGTATGTGGATGGCAAAGCAGGTAAATATATTTCAGCCACTTCCCACAGTCTGGAATAACGATTAGTGGAAAATTCTTTATCCCTAAACCCCTTTATATTGCTCGAATTTGGATCTTGCTTGCAGGTTCTTTTGAAGCTCTATGAGAGATTCCTAAATTGTAACTCGAACATCACATGGCTGTACATCAAATGGATCTAAAATCCAAATCGGGATCTCCGTTTCAATTACGTCATGAAAACTCTCTTTATATTATTGTCGAAATTGTTTGGCATAGACAATCAATTCTTCTTTCATTAGATCCTCTGTGTCCGTAGCGAGCATTGAGAACTACGAAAATTCCTGACGTCCGATTTTTTGAGCCTAGACTTCCATCTATTTAGTACAGCGATAACTGCTTCTTTGCTCGAGATGAGATTATTCAGTTTGCCATGAAGTGTTTTATTGAATAAATTGAGTTTTCAGAAACATCAGCCAGTTAAAATACCACCAGATTAGCTGTACAAAGTTTTCTTTAATGATCAATTCCAGAAAGAAAGGTGATAATGGTATCACAGAGTGAAACAGAACGGGGGAAATATTTGCCCTTAGAGAGATATGTAACTTCTGTATGCAACAGTAGAACGTGGAAATCTTTCACTGTTCACCTCACACCGCTGCTGAAGAAGACAACCTTGAAGAGGGTGCGATTTGCTATTGTTGACAACTATTGTGAATCGTTTACGCGCCCTCCCAATTTCTTAGCCACCAGGTGCTCTCGATGAGTCACAGAGAGAATTGAATAAACAGAAGAGGAAATATATGCCGGATGGGCAAAAAATCCTTTACAGCTTCCGATCATTGTGGCAGCACCATCTGTCACACATCCAACCATGTTCTGCGTTGGAATGGAATTTTCCGTCAGATAAGTATTGACTACCTCAAATATAGACTGGGTATTTGCATGAGTTTTAACTCTCCTGGAAAACAGCGTTGCTTTCACCAATAAATTATCAATGAAGATTCGGACATCCATCACGACAGGAGCGTGGCTAGTAGATACAGTAGATGTATCTAGACGTAACGAAAAGTTCCTTGGTTGTAGGGAAGTTACTAAGGTACCTTCAATGTCATGAGCCAGCACAACTATCACTTAGATACAGCCGGATTTATGAGTGGAATAGCTTGAATTGCTACTTGTGGATGCATGTTAATCAG